CGAGGGCTCAGCAGTGCAGAAGACAGACAAGATCCCACTCTCGTTTTGTGGGAGACAAAAGAGGCCAAAGGAGGAGGCGGCATGGTCTCCTGGCTGGGGGACAGAGAAGGCTTGGGAGGAGGTGATCTGCCTTGATGGAAGGGTAGAATTCAGCCAGAAAGAGGGAAGGAGAAGGTGCCAGGCAGAGGGGAGACCTGCAGGTGAGAAAGCTCTTGGCATGTTCTTGAGCCTCAAGTGAAAACCCGGTTATGGCTTTTCCTGCTCCAGATCCTTCTGTGTGTCCCTTCAAGTCAGAGTAGAATTTGAGTTCCCAAGCCTGGCATTTGAAGTTCAGAGCTGTCGTCAACTGAACCACTTGGTGTTCCCTTGACACGCCCCCACTAGGCGAGTTCTTGGACGAGGAGGAAAGAATGTAGACTTTGGAGCCCAGACAAACCCAGACCCATATATCCCCCCTTGAGTCCTTCTAGTTGTGGCTTGTGCAAATCAGTGACCTTCCCTGATCTTTAGTGTTCTCATCCGTAAAATGGGTGAGTAAAGCCTTTCACAGGACTGTTGTGGTGCCAGTCTTCACAGCCCTCAATGTCCCCGCCTCCTGTGACGCACTGCGTTGCATAGTCCACTCCACATTGTGCGGGCATTGGTCTGTGTGACCAATAGAATATGACCTTAGTGATGCTGTGCCACTGCCAAGATTAGGTATAAAAGGCTAAGGCTTCCGTCTCTCTTGGGTTACTCGTTCTGGGAGAGGCTGGGTAGCAAGAGGCCCACATGGTAAGGACCTGAGGGAGAGCTTGGAAATGGATCTGTCGGCCCAGGCAGGTCTTCAGAGACTGCAGCCCCAGCTGACAGCTTGGCTGTGACCTCGTGAAAGACCCTGACCCAGGCCCACACAGCTAAGTTCTGGCGCCTGACCCTAAGAAACGATGTGGAGTAAAATGTGTTTGGTGTTTTCAGCTGTAACTTTGGAGTAGCTTGTCACACAGCAGTAGATCACTAAAACCGTCAGGTAGGCAAGAGCAGAAAGGACGTGAGAATGTGCCCAGCAGGGAACCTGACACCCAGGAAGGGCTTAGGAACTAGGAACTGCATGTTGTTCCCACCTCTGTGCCTTTGCCTAGATGGCGCTTCTCCATTTCTCTTTCTCAGAATTCTTCCTGCACTCCTGCAATTGTTTTCAAGAAGTTTCCTCTGGCCCCTTCTCCCCCGGCACCTTCCATCCTTCATTGTGGGTACTTCTCATAGGATTCTGGTCACCTCCTGCCTGTGGTATTCAGGGGCACACCTAGCCCCTCTTCCTCCTACTCCTGGAAAACCCTGATCAACCTGAAAACAGGGACCAAATTGGACTTTTCTCGGCAGCCACGCCCCCAGTGTGTACCAGTCTCTGCGTGGCATGAACTCAGGGAACTGGCCAAGTTAAGGGAAAGAGGAAAGCAGCAGGAGGCAGGGATGGGGCTGGCCTGGCCAGGGGGCGGGACAGGAGCAGGCCAGCCCTCCCTGTCTTTGTGGGAGCTGACAATGGGGGCTGCAACTCTGGGCCCTCCCCTGGGATTCCAAGTCCCCACAGGACCCTGCCTGGAGGAAGGTGGCTTCAGCAGACATTCTCCGGCCCCTGTTGACAGGTGACCCCCATCCCAATATGGCCACCCTTTGAACTCTAGGCCCACTCATTTCACACTGGCTCCAAGTCTGAATGCCCACAGCATGGGCCTCTAACCTGATAAATGACCTGTGGAAAACCTCTGCTCCTTCTGAGCCCCTCTCCCCACCTCTGCAGGGTTGCCTGAAGGCCTTTCCAACTCTGACCAAAGAATGTACCGACTCCCTACCCGCTGGTGGGGCTTCTCCAGGGGCGAGTCGCAGGGTGGGGAGGTACACTCAGCCCACCTCTTCACAGCAGCCTCTTCCCCACAGGCAAAAGGATGTGTCACTGTGCCCTGGAATCTCTGGAAGATTCCCACAGTTCAGTTCTTTCCTGGCTTTCAACTGGAGGAATCGCATCTTTCTTGCTCACATCTCCTGGGATGTATTTTTGGCCCTGGCGGGCTTGATGTGGTGGCCTGTGTGGGTGTTCCCTTTTAATTTGGGGTCCTGAGCCATCTGAGGCCTGGGCCAGTAATTACGAGAGCAGAGCCATTTATAGAAATGCCCTTGAGAAAAGTCAGTGATGAGACCTGAGAGAAAATACTTCGGAAATGAAGTTTTAGACCTTCTCCAGGCAGCAGGAGAAACCCCCTCAGGACACAGAGTCAACAGGTTGTCAATCCTGTCACTTTCCCATTGACCTGGGAGGCTGGGGAGAGGAGACCTGGGTCTTGTTGTAGGTCTGATGTGGGGGTCCTAGGCCTATGCTACCTACAGGATTAGTCAAACAGGTTCATGCGGTCTGCCCCCAAGCTCTGAGGGAGTCTGCCCTCCACCCTCAGGGTCCAGGCGAGGAATGAGGTGAGTCACTTAGCAATGTGAAATGTCACTGGCTTCTGAGGGGTCACACACTGTGACATGGAAGCCACTCCCAGACCAGCAGCAATGCCCCAGTCCAGGGACTGCAAGTGCTGGACACTGAGCCCCTGTCCTGAGGACAAGCAGCCCTTGGAATGAAGGGGCCAGGACACCCCTTCTCTGAGCTCCTGGAACACAGGGGGCTGATAAGCGGAACACTGAGAGGCCTTGTATTCACCCACATGTTTGGTCCCTGCCCTCAAGGGGCTCTCTGGCCAGAAGGGTGACTAATCCAGGGATAGGAACCCCCTGGCACAGGGGACAGGGAGAGGCCGACAGCCTGGTCTGTGTGGAATCTGAGGAGGACGAGGAAGCTCCTCTACTGGACTGAGAGCCACGTGGCCTTTAGACATGGTGGGATGGGGGCAACCCTGGAGCGAGCGGTGAGGAGGGACTTTGGAGGAGGGCATTTATAGCCAGAAGGCACAAGAGGCCCAAGAGACAGAGGGCAAGGCCAGCTCAGGGAAGACCTGGACACAGCGCTGAGTTCAGGCTACTCCCGTGGGCCCTGTGGGGCCAGGGCAGATCTGAGAAGCGGTAGGACAGGTCAGATGGGTCAGAAGTTTCTATTTTCCTCACAACCACTCTGTGCCGGAAGAAGAGCATATCTTTTGAAGTCTAGGTGAGTCTAAATTTCGTCCAGGCACAAAAATAGCCAGACCATTTGTTGGTGTTGGGCTGATGGTTGCAGGTTTGGCATCTGGAGGCCTAGCCTGTGAGTGGCAGACATTGGTTCCAGACATGGACAAAATTGGTGGAGGCTACCTCCTGCCCACAGTGGGCCTTTCCTGGAAACATGGGATGCGAGTGGTTTTATCCAAGGCTGATGGAAGAGGCCGAAGTTTCTGTGATTGTTTATTTTCCTGGAGCCACAGTGAGGCGATTCAGAAAGTAACTCCAATCCTTTCCCAGGTGGAGCTCTGTAGTAGGCGGCTTTATCTGTCTCAGATGCTGAGCCCACACCCCCAGCCTGTGTGTCCCCATGGAGCTGGAAGTCCAGTGCCTATTGGCTGCAGAAAACTCTACATGCGCACTGTGGCCCAGTGGCTTCCCACTTACCTTCCAGGGTCATGGGCAGTCACAACCTCAGCAGTCACTGAGTTTTTAGAATTCTTCTGACGCCAGGTGGCTCACGCCTATAATCCCAGTACTTTGGGAGGCCTAGGTGAGAGGATTGCCTGAACCCACGGTTCAAAACCAGCCTGGGTGACTTGGTGAGATATCATCTCTACAATAAATTAAAAAATTAGCCAGGCGTGGTGGCAAACGACTATAGCCCCAGCTACTTGGAAGGCTGAGGCGGAAGGATCGCCTGAGCCCAGCAGGTCAAGGCTGCAGTGGCTGTGAGCGTGCCACTGCACTCCAGCTTGCGCGACAGAGTGAGACTCCAACTAAAAAAATAAAATAAAATAAAATAAAATTCTTCTGAGGCCACAGGGCTTCTTTAAATCACGGTGCTGAGTTCTTGGAGGCTGAGAAACAGAACTTCTTCCAGATGAACAGGGTGTGCCGGTCACTCCAAGCCCCTCTTGTACACCTTGGCCTTCTGAAACCTGGATTCCAGCCACCCCAGCCTCCTTGATGTTTCTCAAACATGAAGGGCCTTTGCTGTCCTCCATCTCTTGACACGACTGGTTCCTTCTTCTACAGATGTGGTAACTTTTCCCCCGTCACTTACCAGGTTTTAGACTATGAATGGATTCCTAGCATTCCCAAAAGGCAGTGGTTCTCAACAAGGGACAATTTTGCCTCTCAGGACATTTGGGAATATGGAGAGACATTTTGGTTATTGCACCTGAGAGGAGCAGGAGGCACCACTGTCCTCTAATGGGAAGAGACAGGGATGCTGCTAACCATCCTATGATACACAGGACCGTCCTCCATAACAAAGAATTATCCAGCCAAAAATGTCACCAGTGGCAAAGTTGAGAAACCTGTCTAGAATGTGACCAATATTTGATGATAATGATGATGATAGACTCACCCTTTCTTAGTTAAAACAGTTTTTTTTATGTTGCTATAACAGAATACCTGAGTAATTTATAAAGAAAAGAGGTTTAATTGGCTCACAGTTCTGGTGGCTGGAATGTTTAAGACTGGGCAGCTGCATCTGGTGAGGGCCTCAGGCTGCTTCAGTTCATGGCCGAAAGCGGAAGGGGAGTGAGTGTGTGCAGAGATCACATGGCGAGAAAAGCAAGAGAGTGAAACCAAGGAAGACAGACTCTTCCCAACAGATTTCCCATCTCTAGGGAACTAATCCATTCCTGTGTGAGAACTCACCACCCTCCATAGCTCCCAAGGGCATTAATCTATTCTAAGGGATCCACCCCCATGACCCAAATACCTCCCACCAGGCCCTACCTCCAAATGCTACCACGTTGAGGATCAATTTCAATATGCGTTTTGGCAGGAATAAACCGCATCCAGACCATAGCAAAGGATAAATCATCTGTACTGTTCACCTTGCTTTAAAAATAATAATAATATCTCCTGGAGATCATTCTATTGCAAAATACAGATAATCTCTTCATTTCTTTTTTTTTTTCCAAGTTGGAGTATCACTCCTTCACCGAGGCTGGAGTGCCGTGACATGCATGCTTACGGCCTCCCCAGCGTCGACCTGCTGGGCTCCAATGATCCTTCCACCTCAGTCTTCCGAGTAGCCGGAACTACAGATGCATGCTACCATGCCTGGCTATTTTTTATTTTATTGTAGAGACAAGGTCTCACCAAGTTGCCCAGGCTGGTCTCGAACCCGTGGGCTCAAGTAATCCACTTGCCTCACCTCCCAAAGTGCTGGGATTATGGCTGAGCCACCGAGCCCAGCCTCTTCATTTCTTTACAGCTGCATAGCACTCCACTATGAAGATGTATCACAGTTCATTCAACTCATCTCCTATTGATGAATATTTTGGGCTGTTTCTAGACTTTTTCTGTAACAAATGACAAAATTGTTCTGTAACAAATAGCCTTGTACATGCATCTTTTCATATATTTGTGAATGTCTTTGGGACATTTTCTTAGAAGAGGGATTTCTGAGTCAAAGCACATATGATTTTGCTAGATTACTACCAGATTCCCCACCATTGGGATTGTACCAATTTGCATCCCTGCCACTGATGCATGAAGGTATTAATGTCTTATCTTAGAGTGTTACCACATCTAAAGTAACTCTACGCTGGACTGGAATTGGCAGTATCAGTATGAGGTCAGATTTTTAAAACAGATATATTTAAATAAACAGATAGACACACAAATATAGATGTGTGCTGATGCATGGGTTAGCATATACACATATATTTCCCAGCTCTGTCCACTGAGAGGGCCTTAAAAGCAGTGAAACTCCATACAATGAGCATACTCGGTGCCCAGATCTTGCTTTCTAAATACCTCTCCAAGAAAAGGAAGCAGAACTCCTTGGAGAAATGACTGACTCTGGGAGTAGGGAATGAATAATCACAAGGTGAGCCTAGAACATCCTGTGATACCAGACAGTTGAGAAGAAATTAGCCAGGCATGGTGATTTGCGCCTGTAGTCCCAGCTACTCAGGAGGCTGAGGCAGGAGGATCACCTGAGGCCAAGAGTTTGCAGTTGCTGTACTCCAGTCTGGATGACAGAGTGATACCCCAACTCAACTAAATAAGCAAATAAATGTGGAAGGAAAGAAGGAAATAGAAAATCACTATTGGCCGGGCACGGTGGCTCAGCCTGTAATCCCAGCACTTTGGGAGGCTGAGGCAAGAAGATTGTCTGAGCCCGGGGGTTGGAGACCAACCTGGGCAACTTGGTGAGACCTCGTCTCTACAATAAATCACAAAAACTAGCCAGATGTGGTGGTGTACGTCTGTAGTTCCAGTTACTTTGAAGGCTGAGGCAGAAGGATCACCTGAGCTGAGCAGGTCGAGGCCATGGTGGCCATGAGCGTGCCACTGCACTCCAGCACGGGCAAGAGTGAGACTCCAACTCAAAAAAAGAAAAAAGTGCCGGGCTTGGTGGCTCAGCCTGTAATCCCGCACCTTGGGAGGCTGAGGTGAGTGGATTGCTGAGCCCGCGGGTTCGAGACCCGCCTGGGCAACTTGGCGAGACCTCATCTCTACAATAAATCAAAAAATTAGCCGGGCGTGGTAGCGCACGCCTGTAGTTCCAGCTACTTGGAAGGCTAAGGAGAAAGGATCGCCGGAGCCCAGCAGATCGAGGCTGCAGTGGGCGAGAGTGGCCACTGCACTCCAGCCTGGGCCATGGAGTGAGACTCCAACTCAAAAAAAAAGAATCTCCTCCCACTTGCCCAAAAGTGAAATTATGGAACTCCTTCAAATCAGGAATCCCTTTCCCAAATTTTGCAGATAATTTACTACCCAAAAGCCTTGCTCCAAGCATCCAGGTACTTCCCAGGGCCACCCCCAGAGAAAGGATTCCTGGCAAGAGGTATCTCAGATGGTCCGGATCCAGGACATTGGCCAGGCAGGGATCATCTCCTGCACACACACATCCTCCCCCGCCCAGCCTGTCTGAATCTGACAGAGGACCTGGGATGAACTTCCCAACGCTACAATCGGCGGCAGAACTTTACCGGGAAAACCCGAGAAATCATGTTGTGTAGACCTTGGCCTTTCCCACAGATTTCCTCTGTGGACCCTCCAATACCAGCCGCAGGTGGGAAGCAGCAGCAGGCATTCTGTGCTGTGTGTTGGTTCGGTGCCTGTAGCACATCCTGTAGTGAAGGAGCTCCTCTGGGAGGCAGGACTCCCGGGTTCCGTTTCCACACATATCATAGAGGGAGGAGATCATACGTGGTGGATCATATGTGGTGCTTTCTATTCGAGCAGAACTGGGAGACAGTCCCAGGGGTGCTGTTGAGGTGATGCCTCTCTGGGCCTGGGCATCTTTGGGAGATTCCAGATGACCTTGGTTATTTGGGAAGGTAGGGGCTGGGCAGGCACCGACTAGAAAATGCTCCTGAAAAGCATGTTAGCAGGCTTTGCTGGACCATAACCAAGTGCTGACTACAGCGCCTGACCCTGCACAGTGTTCTTCTGACCCTACATCAGAGTATCATTTTGCAGATGTGGACACTGAGCTCAGAAGGTGAAGTGCCTTGACTAAGGTCAGGCAGGGAAAAGGAGGCACTTGGAAGCCATCCAAATGCCTTTGGTTGAACTGATATGCTTTAGTATTATATTTTCTCCCGTTTCACACTTTTATTTAGAAAAGAAAGAAAATCGAATGTCTCCTTCCCCCACCCCCAAGTTTCAGCCGTGTTCTCCTGATAGTACTGGCTGGATGTTAACACTTTGGTACTTTGATTAAGTTAGGACAATAGAGGTCAGCACCCCTCCCCAGCTCCAAAGGAATGGCCACCGTTAGTCCCTGTCCTTTTTTTTTTTTTTTTAGTCAGAGTCTCTCTCTGTGGTCCAGGCTGGAGTGCAATGGCACACTCACGGCCACCGCAGCCTCGACCTGCTGGGCACAGGCCATCCTTCTGCCCCAGCCTTCCAAGTCTGGAACTACAGGTGTGCGCCACCATGCCCAGCTAATTTTTTTGATTGATTGTAGAGACGAGGTCTCGCCAAGTTGCCCAGGCTGTTCTTGAACCCTGGGCTCAGGTAACTCTTGCTTCTGCCTCCCGGAGTGCTGGGATTGCAGGCTCGAGCCACCGTGCCCAGCTGTCCCCACCCTTTCACAGCCCTGTATGGAAAGGAGAGTATACCCACTTCGCAGAAGAGGAGACTGAGGCCACACAGGGTCACTGGCAGGTCAGGGCTCAGACCAGAAGCCCCAGCTACTGGCCACTTCTCAGCACTGTCTTAATGGCTAAAGCAGGGGCAGCTCCAGGTCGCTCCACTCCGGCTTTTGAGAAATCCCTTTCCTAATCCAGAGGAACAGCCACTGAGCAGCCACAGACCCACACAGCCTCCGCCAACAAGGGACACTCCCTTCAGCAAGTTACCGTAATGTCGATCTTAATGCTGCACCCCAGGAAGTTTTGTCAACTTCTGATGAAAAGTATTGTATTCCTAAAAAATTCCCAACTTCTAGACTTGCCTGGAACAGTCTGGGTAGGCAGTTTCCTGTGCTGGAATTCCTGGGTGGCTTATCAATTTCACAAACCCCCAGAAGGGATGTTTGGAACTGGGATCAGTTCAGCAGAGCAAGACTCTCTTGAGCCAGCTTGTGTAGGCTCCGCTGGTCAGCAAGGGAGGGAGGCCACAGAGCTTGGAGTCTGCACAGGGTTGACTACCTTCTGGGTCGTCCCTTCAGTCCTCGGATCCAGCAGGAAGTCAGCATCTGGCCAGCAGACAGGGATTCCCAGTGATAGGACCCACAGGTCAGCCTCCACTGTGCTCTGGAGGCAGATGCACGCCATGACGCTTTGAAAGAGGTCAGGAAAAGGGTGAGACCAAGCGGCTCCTCCGCTGTCTGTCCCATGCCCTGTGACAGCCAACAGCGTGGACCTGTTTCCTCCTGCAAATCAAGGATTCTTACACCGCCATGTAACAGAGGGGGTCTGCTCAGTTCCTGAATCCACTGAAATGGTCACCAACGCTGAGTGAGAGTGTATTAGGGAGAGGGCATGTTTGTGTAGATATTCATGGCACAGGTCTCACTCGGCAAAGGTCCAGAACTTTGCCTCAGTGATCTCCGCCTGCCAGGGAGGAACCCGGACCATACCCTGTGTCACGCTGCCTCAGGTCAGCCTGGCTCTCAGCCAGGCATTTGCGTAGCCAGCACCCTCAGGCGCCATGGGGCAGTGCATGTTTCACTCCTTCCCCGCCCTGGGCTGGGATGAAAGCTCACCCCCTCCTGCCCACACATGTCTGGCCTCAGCCCTGCCCTGCACAGCTGTCTGCCTGCCCATCACCGGCCCAGGTCCCCACCACGAGGACAGGAAGTGCTCCCCACATCCGCCTCGGCCGCACAGGCTGGTGCTTTTTACAACCCTGACTTGTGGTCACTGAGCCTAGCAGCCAGAGAGAATTTTTTAAAAGACGTCCAAACATGTAATTAAAATCTCAGTGTCGGGCTTTGGGGAAGGCACTGGGCGGCTCCCACCCCTGCTTTCCGGAAACACAGATTTTTAGCTTTTGAAAGTGACAGGAGGCTCAAGTGAGACCGCCCTAAGTATACCGTCCTGGGCATTTCCGTGCAGCTGGGGAAAGGTGGGATTTATTCCACAACCATGGCCTTTGCTGGACCGTTAGACCAGCCCCCGCCACGGGGTCCTGCTTCCCGTCTCACCTCCAGCCTGTCCCCTGCCCTTGCCTCCACAGATGTATCCCAAACCGCCCCTCCACCCAGGCTGCTCGCCTGCTACTCCCAACCCCTGTGCTCACCACTGGTGGAAGCACAGCCTATGTTCCTGGCACAGCCTATGCTCCTCAGCAGGCAGGCTACAGCTGTGCTCACATGCTGACCCACACAGCACTCAGCCGTTCTGCCTGTTCTGCCTCCACCCCTGCACCTCTGCCTGGAGTGCCCTCCCTGCCACCTTCTCCGCCCGCCAAGGCTCTAACCCATCCTTAAAGGCCAGTTCAGATGTCACCTTCTACATGAAGCCTGCTCAGATCCTATCACCCACTGGGACTCGTGACCTCCCCAGCCCCTGACTGGACCTTTTCAGGAGCTTATCCCTCTTACCCTGGTTTCTTGTTCATGTCTACACTTCCCTCCTTCCTCCTCGACCTCGTTCCAGAAAGGGAACTCGGGTCCTCTGCCCTCTGCTGCTTCCTGCTGCTTGCTTGCCCGGCCCTGTCCTCAGGTCACACAACTCTAGTCCTTGACTCTCACTGGCCTGTCCCCTGCAGGACCTGTCTCCTTGATACCACAGCACACTTGCACTCATGCCCCGGCCCAGCCCAGCTGTCACCTCCCCTCCCCTGCCCAGGCAATGGGCAGACTCAGGATGGCCCGTGTCCCACTGCAATGCCCTCAGCTGTACCCCTGTTCCGCAGGTTTTTCTATGGGGGCTGTGGCCCTTTTCTGCCTTGAGTTTGATGTCCCTCTCCACTTTAGCCTGAGAGCTCCCAAAGGAGGGCCTCTCCTCTGTCTCATCTGTGGGTCCTGGACCAACTGGGGCCTAGGGGGATGCAAGAGGAGTTTGAGGTTTGGAACCCAAGGCCAACAGTACCCAACAGGTGCAGGGCTCAGGGTGTGCCTGACTACACGACCTCTTGGTCCTGTCTACACCCTGGGGCAGAGCCTGAAACAAGCCTGTTTGTAGGGGGAGCTGGCACAACCTAGGCCGCCCAGACTGCCTTCCCTAAAGCAGCAGGTGGTGGGCACTAGGTAGTGGCGGATCATACCCAGGTCTGCCCACTCTGGAGCCCAAGCCATCCCTAGCGACAGCCTGACTCCCTTTTGTCTTCCAGTGGAGCTTGACCGTGCCCTGGGCCACCAGGAGCCCCACTGGAAGGAGTTCCGCTTTGACCTGACCCAGATCCCAGAGGGGGAGGCGGTCACAGCTGCGGAGTTCCGGATATACAAGGTGCCCAGCACCCACCCCCTCAACAGGACGCTCCACATCAGCGTGTTCGAGGTGGTCCAGGAGCAATCCAACAGGTGCCTTCCCCTCGGCCCAGGTGTCCACGTGCCTCACAGTCTCCTGGTCAAGGCTCTGCTGGTGTGTCTGGACCAGAGGGTAGGGGTGGGGTGAGGTGGAGCATTTCCCAGAGGACTGATAAAGGAGTATCAAAGACAGGAAAGATGCTTGGCCTGAAGCCTCATGGCACTTGTGGTGGAGCCCCAGTGACAGTCCTAGCTTCAAGTCCCCGTCCTGCCACGCTGGCTGTGGGACCTTGGATGGGTCACTGAGCCTCAGTTTCCCCATCTGTACTTGGGTACAGTAACACCTTTGTTGGCTGACTCAGTGAGATAAGGCAAAGGAGAAGCCCAGCCCAGAGCCAGGGCAGATGGACCCTCCAGCAACGTCCCCAGGCGGGCACTAGAAACACCAAGGCAGCTGTGCCGGGCTCCGGTTAATTGTCCTTTCGTGTCCACAGGGAGTCTGACTTGTTCTTTTTGGATCTTCAGACGCTCCGAGCGGGGGACGAGGGCTGGCTGGTGCTGGACGTCACAGCAGCCAGTGACCGCTGGTTGCTGAACCGTCACAAGGACCTGGGACTCCGCCTCTTTGTGGAAAGCGAGGATGGTGAGGCTCAGGGGTTCCTCTGCTCCAGCACAAGAAGCGGCAGGGGTCACAGTTGGCCCTGGGTGCTCTGCCTTTCTAGCAGGGCCTGCTGCAAGGGTCAAGGAGGTAGAGAGCACAAGGTCCACACAGGAGGCCCTCAGCTGGAGCTGGTCCCTCCTCTCCCCTGCAGAACCAACACTGGAGTTGAAGAGCGCGTGTCAGAGTCTTCCTTCCCCAGGAAACGGGCAGTTCTTCCCGCCTTAGGAGTTTCTGGACTGGGAAGAGGAGGACAGGAAGTGGTTGTACCCTTAGGCCCTGAGTCTGAGAGGCTGGTTTGAATCCCAGCCAAGCAGTGCCCTAACTCCCTGGCCTTGGCAGGTACCTCCTCTCGAAGCTTCCGTTTTCTCTTCTGCAGAACAAAGATTCACCCCTTCCTTCCCTGGTGTTACTGAAGCGCCTCCTTCATCGCAGGCAGTGAGAATACAGAGGCCAAAGTGGGCCCGAGATTGGCCTGTTTGAGGCCCAACAAGAGGGGCCGTGGAGCAGCAGAGAGGGCAAGTGTGAAGAGGAGATGGGGAGGGGCTGGCAGGGGCCGTTCTGAGTTGGGGTAAACCAGGCAGAGGCGTCTGGGGTTTTGAGAGTCATTTGTTTTATGTAATAACAGTGGAGGACAGCAGGATCTGATTCAGGTTTTTAGAAAGAACCTTCTGAGATATGCCCCCGCAAAGGGGTGCAACATGCCTCCCCACCCCTTCCTTGTGGGCTACACTCAGTAACTTGCTTCCCGAACGTCTGGGATGGCCAGGGGTGGGTGGAGTCTCTCTACAGTGGAGAAACCTGACAAGCACCCTGTCAACCAGGTGATGAAGATCACCTGGATGACAGGGCAGGTGGCTAGTGCGTGCCCCTGGCGTGAGGTGAGGGGACTGGCACTTCACCTCGGAGGTCGTCCCCCCCAGAACCCATAGCCCCAGTCTAGCCATGAGAAAAACATCAAACAAACTCAGATGGACGTACTTTGACAAGTACTTCTCAAAACCATCAAGGTCACCAAAAACAAGTAAAGTTTAAGAAACTGTAACAACCTAGAACCTAAACAGTCGTGACCACTCAGTGTGATGTGGTGTCCGGGATGGGATTCTGGACCAGGGAAAGACGTTAGGAGAAAATCTATGAAATCCAAGTAAATTATGGTATTTACTTAACAAAAATATATCAATATTGGTTCGTTTGTCGGGACCAAGTCACCCTAGCAGTGCAAAATGTTCCCATTTCCGTGGAAACCGGGTCCAGGCATATGAGAACTCTGTACTATCTTTGCAAATTTTTCTGTAAATCTCACTTGTTGTACAATTAAAACTTTACTTAATATATGCATAAAATAAATGACTTCCTGGGGAGAGGAGGCTGAGATGGACAAGAGAGAAGGCAGAGAGACCCGCTGCAGCCCCATGAGGTCCGGGTGGGAGCTGCGAGATGCTTGTTGGGAGCAGTAAAGATGGAGAAGGGTGGAGAGAGTAGAAATGCCAGGATGTACTTACAACTGGCAAGCAGGTGAGGGAAAGGGAGGAACCATGGATGACACGTAATCTAAGCAGTGGATGGTTTTTAACAGATATATATATGTGTGTGTGTGTGTGTGTATATATATATATATTTTTTTTTTTTTGGCTGATTGGAGAAATAGAGGAAGGGCAAGTTTGAGGCAGGTGATCAAGAATTCTCTTTTGGCTGGAATATTATTGAAACTCCTAAGCCAGGCATGGTGGCTCATGCCTGAAATCTCAGCACTTTGGGAGGTGGAGGTGAAAGGATTGCCTGAGCCCAGAGGTTTGAGACCTGACTGGGAAACTTGGCAAGACCTCATCTCTATAATAAATTTTAAAAAATTAGCCAGGCGTGGTGGTGCTGGAATGTAGTGCACCTGTGGTGCCAGCTGCTTGGAAAGCTGAGGCAGAAATATCCTCTGAACCCAGCAGGTCAAGGCCGCAGTGACCATGATTGTGTCCCTGCACTCTAGTGTGTAAGACAGAGTGGGGTTCCAGCCAAAAAAAAAAAGGATACCCCTGGGCTATTACTGAGATGCCTAGCCTTTATGGAAATGCCATTCCAGGGACAGGTCAGTGTGGAGACCTGAGCGTGAGAAGGGCTAGAAGGTAAGTGGCTTCAAAGCCAAGAGCCCGGACCAGGTCACCTGGAGAAGGAGTGTGGTGAGACCGTCAGTATCCAGAGGTCTCCCAAGGAGGGGCCAGCCAGGAAACCTGGAGAGGAAGGGGACCCAGAGGTCAGAAGAAGAAAGTGTTCCAGCAGCAGGAAGTCGTCATCCGTTCTGCTGCGAGTGCTGAAGACAAGGATGAAAGGTGACCAGAGGATTTAGTCACACGGGGGTTGCTGATGACCGAGAGCTGGGTGGAGTGTGGGGACAAGGTCTGATTGGGAGGGTGGAAGGAGACAGGCAGTAGAGACGGTAGACAGATCTTTCCAGAGCCTTTGCTGGGGAAAAGCAGCAGTGTTGGTTGGAGAGAAATGGGGGTGAAGGCAGGGCCTCTCCAGGTCAGGAGACAGACCCGGGCGCTTCAGTGGTGACGGGAGTGATTCCGTGGAGAGGGAAGAAAATGGCAACGTTCTGGACAAGTCTGAGATGGGGGCAGTCTCTTCAGGCGCAGGGACTTTTCCCGAGGGCAGTGTGACGATGTGCGCCCCTGGAACTGAGCTCTGGGACACGGGAGGGCAGTGACAGGCATCTCGGCGGGCTTCAACAAGCGTGCTTGGCACGGAGTCAGTGCCCAGCGAGGGTGTCTCATCGTCTTAGTTGTCACCCTGCAGGGCCCGTCCACGAGACACTTGGCGGGCCTGGGCTTTCTGGCCGGGGCTCCACGGGGCCTGTGCGCTGCACGCGGGCGTGAGGAGGACAGGACCCGCCCCGGCCAAGTCGGGGCCCCCATGCCAGGGGCGCGGGAGGGGGCCCTCCTCGTCCTGCGTCGCGGTCGGGCGGAGGGTGGCCCCCGGGCCGGCTTGGGGCAGGACGTCACGCGCGGGCGCCGCCC